GTCATGCCAGTACTGTCATAAACTGTAACCAACTATTTAAAAATAAGATATCTTTTGCTAGAATTTTAAATTTTAAGCCATAGAGCAATCTTCTCAATTTTTAAATTTAAAAATAACATTTTACCCTAACTATGATGTGGTGGCATTTCATACTTAACTAAAATTCAACTTTGAAAGTCAATAGATTATTAGTCACAACAAAATTATAGTTTAAGACATCCATTTTGCATTGTGTTTCCATTATTAGAATTTATGATATGTATTGATTGAATAATTGGTAATAAATTTAACTTTTGTTTTATTAACTTTTGTTTTATTTTCAGATTGAATTACTTTCATCATCTAAAATGGATCAGAAACAGTCAATACAAGAAGGGGTTAAAAATAATCATAATCTGACCGTTAACAATCAAGTAGCATTAAAAAAGTGTAGTTCTGATATCAAAACTTTGATTTCAAACTCTTTGATTTCAAACTCTGATTTCAAAAATCAACGAAATAAAGCTTCTATTTTGTGAAAGCAGAGAGTAATAACAACTCCTAAAACATGTCAAACGTTATCTAAACACTGAAAAGTGATCTATCCAGTCATAGAAAATATCAAATATAACCAAATACTGTGTTCAAGTATGAAAACAAAAAATGATTTTTACGCCTCACAAAATGACATTTTTAAAACTTTTTCAAAGTATAAAAAATGTTCCTTTTTTAATATATTCTACTAAAAACAGAACTGGTATAATGTAAACAACATATATATCTAACAGTAAGACACGTGAAAGAATAATGAAACTTTTTCCCAAATCGGATTTGAAGTGATGCCGTTTTGGGTTGTCATTTTGTAAGGCACTATCTCACGCGAAATTGCCCAACTTTTTTAAATCATCCTTTTTCCTGTAAAAGCTATTCTAATCTTCAATCTATTATATTTATCTAACTGTCCTAGGTGAAATCAAATTTCTATATAGGCTGCTGTTAAAAAATGACAGCCGTGACGAAATTGTCATTTTGTAAGGCATGTTTTTTTGGACGATTTCAAAGATGACAATTTTTATCGCAAAATTTATGGTTTTTCAATCAAATTAACCCCCGGGAAGAAAAATATACCTGTTGAACTACCTATCTGGATAATAAAACAAGAACAAAACTCATTTTTGTGCATTTCAGAGCCATCTCCTTTTTCGTGTCATTTTGTAAGGCCGATACCCGTAGCAGAACAGATTGAAAAATTGTATTTAATAGGCTCAACCAGAGAGGAGCAGAATGGAATGATAGATTGATAACACAACTATTTGTAAGGATCAGTGTTGTTATATTAGGATAAAGGAGGAATGATATCATCAATACTTAAGAAGCTGTTGATGTATGTAGTACTGTGTCCTTTAAAGAGAAATATGCCACCATAGAAAAAGACAATATGCTCAACCGTGAGGAGCAACAGGCTTTTCTACGGTAAAAAGAGTCTCCATGATGGTCGATCTGTAGCCAATTTGTACGTAATGCAATTTAAAGTTTACTGGTATACTTTAAATACTTTTCTTACCATGATTGATGTTCCAGAACTGTTCAGCCAGAGTGGATCAGAGCTAGAAATGACATGTCATGTACGGGATTTCTCAACTGCCTAACATTTGATGAAGATCTCTCTTGCATGCGGCTGTAGAATGAAGTAGTGAGCTTCGAAAATCTAATACAACAGAAATCATCTCTGCTCCACACAGGTTGAGCACTGAATAGTTCCCGTGAAGTAAGTTTATTGACCACCAATATTATAACATATTTTCTCTAGAATGAATAAAAATAATATCCCATGAAGCACTTAAAAGTTGTCTCTATTGATCAAAAGGAAGACCTCTTTTTGCTCCACATGGTTGAGATAGGCTGTTCTCGACTAAAGAGTCTGCATCAACGGTGAAAATATAGATACAGGAGTCAAGATGAAAATCACAGAAGTCACTTTATCTCAACCCAGAAAGAATTTAAAAGTTGGCAAATTTTTAACCATTTTGGGCTCCACAGGGTTGAGAGAAGTGTACTGAATATAAATATCCGTTTCAGTACTCAAAATAGAGTTAGTAATAGTTACCAAGCTAAAAAAATCTTACAGATAAATCAAATCAAATCAAAATATAATGACACAAACATCATCACACATCATCAAAAATATATCTACTAAAGTTTAAAAATTATCTTTAATATATTGGCCTAAACAACCAAGTTAAAATGAATCTAATTTACATACCTAAACAAGATCTAAACAAAAGCATTATGAAAAGCTAATAAATTAGAGGGGTTTCAGCTAATAAGTTCATAGAGTTTCAACCAAAAACTTGACTGTTTAGCGTATGATTTTTGGTCTTGAAAATTGCCTAACTTTCAAGCTACTGCTCCACACAGGCTGAGCATTAAAAGTTGTCTTAACCGGGGCTTTCTGTGTAGATGGGACCTTTTTCTGAGAGTCTCAACCTGTTTTGACTGCCAGATTCAGTTACCAACGAGATTGCAAAAAGTTTAAAAATGTCACTTTGAAGCACTGATATGCTCCACATTGGCTGAGTAACACATATAGATTACATGTTAAAGTGTCCAGTGAACATTTGTTTCCATCTTGGTGAAATATTAACAAAGGGTGAACACCAGGTGGCATGCTAGCTCACTAAATAGCTCAACCGGTCAAATTGTACCAATTTTGGCAGTCAAATTTGGGCAAAGCAAACTTTACAATGACCATTTCTATTTTATACCTACACATTTGTAAATAACTAGATTTGTCTAACTTTAAATTATTTCAGAATTATAACTATTGTGGATTCAATAAAATAATTATCACTTTTGTATCCTTGTATCCTTGTATCCTACACAGGTAACGGAAATGTTCCATCGCTACTAGTGCGTATTATATATGAAATATCAGCAATCAAATATATACACATCTACTCCATCATTGAAAATAAGCTCACTTGGAAGCTTCAGAAGTTCCATGACTTTGTAAACTGTTAATAATGTCCCATGGCCGTGTGTGTACAATGTCTCGCCAGCTCATCGTTTGGTCATTTACATGATATGCAACAACTTCCAATGAAATGCAGTCAATATTATATTATAGAACATCCAAATTACATGCATAGTAGTATCATGCTAATAAGAAAAAAGGTCATTAATATAATTTAAACCAAACCTACTTTCATTATTCAAGCTAATTGTCGAATGACCCAATAAATCAGTAAGATTTATAGTCCAGAATATGCTTGTACAGAAAGCTGTTATAACCATTGCTGCATTTCAAATAGATTTTGGAAGGTCAATTTCCAGTGATACTTTGATTGCTTGGACACTCTTAGGGGTCGTTCACATATTACGTAATCAGCCGAGGGGGGGTTTCAAATGCTTACGGTTGATTACGGGGGGGGGGGGGGTTTGGTCGTTGATTACGTTATCAGAATTTTAATTTTTTACCGATTTTCGAAATACCAATTGGACAATTTTGTATTCATTAATCCGTTGTGATTTGTCATACGTTGTATGACCCGCCGCGCACGAGTGCGCGGCTCCTCATGTATCATAGAAACTCTATAGTGAAGCGATGCAGTGGGGGTCACCACCATTAGATACAAGTCAGACCTTGATTACGTAATATAGGGGGGGGGGTTGGTCTTGATTACGGTTGATTACGGAGTGAGGGGGTAAAAATTGCCAAAATATTGATTACGTAATATGTGTACAACCCCTTACCACCTAGCTCATGCATGTTGCATTTGTATCACGTTGCGACCCCCACGGTCGTTTCATTATGGTGACGATATACAGGGGAGCCGGGCACTTCGTGCGCGGCGGGTCATACAACGTATGACAATGTTGTATGTACTGAACATTTGTTGCATTGACGTAAATTGTAAAGCATTGACGGAAAATTTATGATGGCAAAATTCAATGTCGATTTTGGTTTAACACTCGATTTTTGTTGTAACACCTGAACATTTAAAAATGTGTGTGGCGCGGCTTAATTATTAAAAGTTTAGCTTTTTATCTAATCAATAGAAATTTTGTATCACGTTGCGACCCCCACGTTGCGACCCCCACCCCTGACGATACAGGGGGAGCCGCGCACTTAGCTTCGTGCGCGGCGGGTCATACAACGTATGACAATAGAAATTGAGGGATTAATTTAAAAAGTATAAAATAATTAAATAAACATGTTTATATCAATGTAAAATAAATTGACTGAGATGTGTTATGCAGTATCAAAATAAAATAGAAAAACAAAATAAAAGACACGCAGATAAAATTATTTTAAATTTATATTGATCCTTAAATAATACAAACTTAAATATTGTTTTACATGTGTCATACGTACGTGCAATGTGCAGCTGATTTTTATAATATTTACTTATCAAATTTTTGTGATTTATTTTGGCGTTAAAATGAATACGTTAACATTTAATTGCTAAAATTATATTTTTTAGATTTAAAATTACTAAACAGCGCTTAAATTGAGGATTTCCAGTCTACGGCTGTAAGGAAAAGCACTCACCCCATCAATCAGACGGGTAAACCGCTGCTGGACGCTCTCCAGCTCCAAAATAGTCCCCCAACTCCCATGAGCCGAAGGTGGATTCCACGATCGGACACAACACTCAAAATGAGGTCTTATTAAAGCGTTATATCCACACCAGTCATTTCATTACATTAAACTGATTGAGGTGATGCCCTTTGTACATGCTGAAGCAATATACAATGATGAAGCAATATGCAACGATGAGTGGAATATGAGTTAGGATCTGTTTGGTCCGTTTCATGGCAAAAACATTCATTAAAGCTTTATATATAGCAATCATAACAACTTGTTATCTAATAAACATGAGACCCCTCGCTCTATCAGAAGTCTCATAAAACCGCATTCCTGCCCCAATGATGGAGTAGATGATGTGTTTAGAAAATTTTTGTGTGTATATTTGATTGTTGATTGTGTAATATAAAGTTCGATTGGTAGCAATGGACCATTTCCGTTACCTATGTATTGTGCTCTGCTAATTGCAACACTTGATAGGACCTGTTGTGATATCATGGATCGCTTAGGTTCCACCAGGATCTGGTAGTCCTCATAATTCTGTGGCCTCTATGTATCGTCATCTCGCACAACTCCTTAAGAATCTTGTGAATTTGTCATGTGAAAATTTGCAGCCTTCCAGACATTGATTGGGTCAGCGAGGTGTCGCACGTCACCTCAAGATCGGGTGAATAAATCCCGATTATGAAAAAATTACAAAGTTCGAAAAATTAGTCACAGTTTTATAGGCCTCCCCCAGCCTCGGATCTTAGGATTAGATTTGCAAAAATTCCTGAGACACAGGTGCAAAAGTTAAGACAGCAGAATAATCCTAAGACAGCAGAATAATCCTAAGACAAAATTTAAGAAATCCTGAGACAGCGAAAAATCCTGAGACAAAATTTAAGAAATCCCGAGACAGCGAAAAAACCTGAGACAAAATTTAAGAAATCCCGAGACAGCGAAAAAACCTGAGACAAAATTTAAGAAATCCCGAGACAGCGAAAAAACCCAAGACAAAATTTAAGAATCCTGAGACGCGCGAAAAAACCTGAGACAAAATTTAAGAAATCCCGAGACAGCGAAAAATCCTGAGACAAAATTTAAGAAAACCTGAGACAGCGAAAAATCCTGAGACAAAATTTAAGAAAACCTGAGACAGCGAAAAATTTTTAGATACAATTTATACAATAGCCACAAGAATATACATGGATATTACATCTTTTAATTTCTTGCAAAGAATATAATAAATACAATATTACTAGGTATAGTAGGAATGTCAATAAGTCAATAGAATTTGTCTGAAACCTCTATGTGCCTGCTAATGAAGTGAGTATCCCAGATCATATCTTTCCAGATCATATCCCAGATCATATCTTCACAGATCATATCTTTACAGGTAGGACTGTATAATGGGGGCCCGATGTTATAGCGGACATCATCTCCCCCCCCCCCCCCCTTACCCCTTCTTACCCCCAGTTCCATAGCGGATATTATGCCAAATTATTGGACGGAGATCGTCAACTAATATTTCTTCGGATATTTCTCCGGTTTGCAGTTCCATAACCTTATCCGGAGACCATCTACGGTAATTTTGTTGATTCTCACAGAGCAAAGTGCAAAGAAACTGCCACAAACTGCTACAATCTCCGAGAAATCTACTTATTGAGTTATTGACTAGCTTGCTAAAATTCATCGGCAAATTACCGCTGCTCGAGTTACCTAGCCAGGCCCATTTCAGTTTTGAGTACTGGAGTCGGTTATCTAGTCAAAGCCTAGCTTTTTGGAACTTGCAAGTGCTTTTGCGGATTGTCGTGGATTTCGGCAAATAGTCGTGGATTTCGGCGATATTTTCAGATTATTCTTCAATGTCCTCAAACCTGAGCACTGGGACTACTTAAGTTTTTGCTACTATCTGAATTATTTGCTCAAGCTACTGGCTCGCTAGGTTCAAAGGTTTATTTCCTATTTATCATGAAAAAAAAAATTGTGCTGGGTAAAAGTTTACACGGTGTTCACGCAGGTTTGAACACCCGACCTCGCGCAGAGCTAGCCGATCGCCTAGCCGCTTAGCTACTCGGGTGATGTACTTATGAAATTTTTGATGTAAATATATATTTACCCCTTTTTACCCCCAGTTCCATAGCGGATATTATGCCAAATTATTGGACGGAGATCGTCAACTAACATTTCTTCGGATATTTCTCCGGTTTGCAGTTCCATAACCTTATCCGGAGACCATCTCACAGAGCAAAGTGCAAAGAAACTGCCACAAACTGCTACAATCTCCGAGAAATTCCCGGAGAGCTTCATCTCCGTATAACTGTATAATACAGTAGACGGAGCCGGAGAATCATCACCGTAGAAATGGACCTCCGTCTAATAATTTGGCATAATATCCGCTATGGAACTGGGGGGTTAATCTGATTAAAAGCTACAAAAAATTCCAGAAATGAGATGGCTGGTTAACACCTACCTTTGGAAAGCTCTGATGAACCTGCCTGTGGAGAAATAAACGCACTTAACTTCACCTCAATTGAGCAATAACTATTTATCGCTTATTACTTCATTTATTTTGGATGTACAGTGTGCTTCGTAACTAATTTATTATTACAAAGTTTACTTTCTAATAAGCTAAAACGACAACTAATCTTTCGTTTTACTCCCTACTGTACAGGTTTACTCGTCAATCCAGGTATATGAGAATTTGTGAGAATGGTCTTGAAACTCTGAAAAGAGGGAAGCAGTTTTGGGGACGGGGAGATTGAAGCGGGTGGGCGACAAATCAGGAAAACAACAATTTCAGGAAAACAACAATTTTATTTAGTATCAGTTACAGCAAACAAAAAATATATTTTATATAATATAATATAACTAGGACGAACTTTAGTTTAGAAATCTTGGGGGACTTGGAGTAGCAAGAGATTGACTAGAAGGTATATACCTTTTACCAAAAACGTCGAAAAGAATCCTGGGTGATACAGGATCGGAGAGTACAGACCATAAAGTTTACGCACCCACCTTTGCCTCCAGAATTCTTGGTTGGTTGAAAATGTATGCTAACTTGGTCGTTTATACTCCAAGTCCCTTTGTTAAAAGAAGTAATATTATGTACGTCTGGAGTTAACTTCATTCAATAATAACAATATCAATATAGTCAATATCAATATCAGACTAAACTATCGAATAAATTATCAAATATTATTTGTTAATTCGATCTGAATAAAAATTTAGTTAAGTTAAGATATTAAATAATTAAAAACATTACAACAAGTGGTTAAAAACGCCCAAAATTGATCTGAGAGCTTTTCAGTCTATAATACAATCATGATAGTAATATTAAGTGTGTTAAGGCCACAGGGGGGGGGGGGTCGAGGCTTCAAAAAATGCAAAATAATATTATGCTTTGAATCAATATATATTTTTGTGGTGGATACTTTGCCACCACTCATTTGTCTGTAGCTATTTTACTTTTTTTAATAAATGAGGTTAACCAATTCTTCCGAAATTGGCTATGCAATATTGAGGTTAACGAAATTGATGCTTGGATTTGATTTCATGCTAAGATATTTTGTTGTTTCGATCAACGAATAATAAATCGTAATTTTTATTTCGCAATTGGTTGAAAATGAAGGATCCAAAGTGGTTAAAAACGAGGTTAACCTCTTATTTCATTGATATCGAGAAGAATTGAGATGAAAGTTATTATCATTCATGAAGTAAGTTCAGTGTATTTTAATTTCAAAACGTAACTCGTACTAATTTATTACTTCAAATCTACTTCAAATCTAAAAAATGAGGTTAACCAGGTCAATTATAACCACTAAAATACATACATGAGTGTCTAATTTTCAATCAAACTCAAGACATTAGTTAGCTATATATTTGTAATAGAACGCTGGGAAGTTTGATCACGAGAAAAATATGATTTGAAACAACTATGACTTGGTAGCGATATTGACCATTAACATACGAACCCCCCCCCGGCCCCCCCCCCCCTATTGTAAGCCCCCCGGCTTACAATTGACCCCCCATGCAATTACACTGAGTCAATTGATCTCAGTATAATAACATGGGGGTTAATTGTCGGGGGTCAATTGTCGTACTAAGCCCTAGATTGTACCTGCTAATGAGGTGAATATCCCAGATCATAGCTTCACAGGTAGGACTGTTTAATGGGGGCCCTGATGTTATAGTGGACATCACTTCCGTCACTACGTAGTAGCTCGTGACACTGGGCTCCAGTTGGACGACCTTCGAACTGTTATGTGCGATCAAGACGTGTGGAGGCAGACAGTGAATGGGAGTTCGATCGAGGATCGCCGAAAGTAAGTAAGTTGTTCAATCCCCCAGTACCTTTATTATTATAATTACCCTCCTAGGCTCCTACATCCTACCCGTTTTTGATGCTGTAATCTTCCCGTCCCCAAAACCGCTAATTCCTTCTTTTCATAGTTTCAGGACCGTTCTAATACATACTCCTATACCTGAATTGACGAGTAATCCAGTACAGTAGGAAAGTTAACTTTGTAGCTTTTTAGAAAGTTCGGAGTAATCACTCAGGTATAGTATCTCACAACGAAGCCCAATCTAAAATAAATGAAGTTATAAGCAATAAATAGGCAGTTATTGCTCAATTGAGCTGAAGTTAAGTGTGTTTATTTCTCCACGGGCCAGTCCATCGGAGCTTTCCCAAGGTAGATTTTAACCAATCTCATTTCTTGACTGTTTTGTATCCTTTAATCAGATACGGGAGGGGAAAGTGATGTCCACTATAACATCAGGGCCCCCATTATACAGTCCTACATGTGAAGCTATGATCTGGGATATTCACCTCATTAGCAGGTACAATCTAGGGCTTAGTACGACAATTAACCCCCATGTTATTATACTGAGATCAATTGACTCAGTGTAATTGCATGGGGGGTCAATTGTAAGCCGGGGGGCTTACAATAGGGGGGGGGGGGGGGTTCATTTGTCGCCCACCCGCTTCAATCTCCCCGTCCCCAAAACTGCTTCCCTCTTTTCAGAGTTTCAAGACCATTCTCACACATTCTCATATACCTGGATTGACGAGTAAACCAGTACAGTAGGGAGTAAAACGAAAGATTAGTTGTCGTTTTAGCTTATTAGAAAGTAAACTTTGTAATAATAAATTAGTTACGAAGCACACTGTACATCCAAAATAAATGAAGTAATAAGCGATAAATAGTTATTGCTCAATTGAGGTGAAGTTAAGTGTGTTTATTTCTCCACGGGCAGGTTCATCAGAGCTTTCCAAAGGTAGGTTTTAACCAGCCATCTCATTTCTGGAATTTTTTGTAGCTTTTAATCAGATTAACCCCCCAGTTCCATAGCGGATATTATGCCAAATTATTAGACGGAGGTCCATTTCTACGGTGATGATTCTCCGGCTCCGTCTACTGTATTATACAGTTATACGGAGATGAAGCTCTCCGGGAATTTCTCGGAGATTGTAGCAGTTTGTGGCAGTTTCTTTGCACTTTGCTCTGTGAGAATCAACAAAATTACCGTAGATGGTCTCCGGATAAGGTTATGGAACTGCAAACCGGAGAAATATCCGAAGAAATGTTAGTTGACGATCTCCGTCCAATAATTTGGCATAATATCCGCTATGGAACTGGGGGTAAAAAGGGGTAAATATATATTTACATCAAAAATTTCATGAGTACATCACCCGAGTAGCTTAGCGGCTAGGCGATTGGCTAGCTCTGAGCGAGGTCGGGTGTTCAAACCTGCGTGTACACCGTGTAAACTTTTACCCAGCACAATTTTTTTTTCATGATAAATAGGAAATAAACCTTTGAACCTAGCGAGCCAGTAGCTTGAGCAAATAATTCAGATAGTAGCAAAAACTTAAGTAGTCCCAGTGCTCAGGTTTGAGGACATTGAAGAATAATCTGAAAATATCGCCGAAATCCACGACTATTTGCCGAAATCCACGACAATCCGCAAAAGCACTTGCAAGTTACAAAAAAGCTAGGCTTTGACTAGATAACCGACTCCAGTACTCAAAACTGAAATGGGCCTGGCTAGGTAACTTTTGATTGATTCGAGCAGCGATGAATTTTAGCAAGCTAGTCAATAACTCAATAAGTAGATTTCTCGGAGATTGTAGCAGTTTGTGGCAGTTTCTTTGCACTTTGCTGGGGGTAAGAAGGGGTAAGGGGGGGGGGGATGGGCCTGGCTAGGTAACTTTTGATTGATTCGAGCAGCGATGAATTTTAGCAAGCTAGTCAATAACTCAATAAGTAGATTTCTCGGAGATTGTAGCAGTTTGTGGCAGTTTCTTTGCACTTTGCTGGGGGTAAGAAGGGGTAAGGGGGGGGGGGGGGGGGGGAGATGATGTCCGCTATAACATCGGGCCCCCATTATACAGTCCATATGATCTGTGAAGATATGATCTGGGATATGATCTGGAAAGATATGATCTGGGATACTCACTTCATTAGCAGGCACATAGAGGTTTCAGACAAATTCTATTGACTTATTGACATTCCTACTATACCTTGTAATATTGTATTTATTATATTCTTTGCAAGAAATTAAAAGATGTAATATCCATGTATATTCTTGTGGCTATTGTATAAATTGTATCTAAAAATTTTTCGCTGCCTCAGGTTTTCTTAAATTTTGTCTCAGGATTTTTCGCTGTCTCAGGTTTTCTTAAATTTTGTCTCAGGATTTTTCGCTGTCTCGGGATTTCTTAAATTTTGTCTCAGGTTTTTTCGCGCGTCTCAGGATTCTTAAATTTTGTCTTAGGTTTTTTCGCTGTCTCGGGATTTCTTAAATTTTGTCTCAGGTTTTTTCGCTGTCTCGGGATTTCTTAAATTTTGTCTCAGGATTTTTCGCTGTCTCAGGATTTCTTAAATTTTGTCTTAGGATTTTTCGCTGTCTTGGGTTTCCTTAAATTTTGTCTCAGGATTATCTGCTGTCTTAGGTTTCCTTAAATTTTGTCTTAAGACTTTTCGCTGTCTTAGCTTTTTTTGACATCTCAGGTTCGCTTAAATTTTGTCTCAGCTTTTTTTGCAGTCTTAGCTTTTCTTAAGCAGTTTGTCTTAGGAATTTTTGCAAATCCAATCCTAAGATCCGAGGCTGGGGGAGGCCTTTTTATATATTTAAATCGCAGTCCATTTACCTATGTGATAAAAAAGCCAACAGAACAGCCACATTTGGCAAGATAATACATGTATATTATACATAAATCATGAGACCTTCTGGGTGTTTCTATGCAACTTCCTATTTCTCATCCGATTTGCACGCAGGCGGTCATACATACAAAGACAATCTTTCGATTTATAATATAGTTAATTACATTTTTACTGGGTCATTTTTACTGGGTCGTACCTAGCATTTTAGTTTGTTTTGTAAATTTTGTAGAAATATTTTGACGTGTGATGATGTTTATGTCATTGTTAGTTGACATGATTCGATTTCGTGATTTCTTTGTAGTGTAGATATGAATTTGATAGGCACAAGAACCTGGTTAATTGGTTCTCAACTTTCTAGTGATAGCTTCTTATCAAAACCATGTGTTGTAACAAATGGGGCCCCAAAAGAAGATGCTGTTCATAATCTACATAAGTATTCGGATAGTATAGAATAACCAGGAGATCTTTAAAATACAAATTGAGGAATAAAGATGGAGTTGGTAGAGTTTTCTTAAATTTGTTTCACTAAAAATTTGTTTCACTTAAAAAAAATGTTGGTCCTGACATATCAGGGTAATTCTCAGCAGGGAAAAGTATTGAAAGCACCATCACAGGACGATGTTTATTTGTTTTATCATTACGTTGATCTGGAGTTTGTGGAAAATTGCAACAACTCTTTATATTATGGAAACTAAATGTGTCTATTTTTATCAAGTTTTCATTTCTAACCTACTTCCCACTTGAACAATTCATTGTTTTCGATTTTAACACATGTTTTATTTTAACACAGTTTAGTATAAAGTCAATGATACGTTTTTTAGCCTTGTATAAAGTATCAATATTTATAATTATCATTATTGTTGTCAAGAAATATTAAATTTGCTGATTGCTGTTAATGAGTATGTATCTATAACTGTGCCGGAGTTTGTTTTAATAATGTGCTGAAATTTAATATTTTCATCCTTTCTATATAGGCTTAGAAATAAAAGTCCTGCCAGAAAAGAAGAGACTTTATTAAGATGGCAAACTTTAACTTCCCTAAACTGGACATGTGGCAACTCCGCAACATTGGCGACAAAGTGTGAGTAGAAAATGGTTGTACTTTTAGATTTATAGGTTATATTTATATGTGATAGGTAAGAAGGCTGTTAAGAGCTCGATTGGGTTTGCAATCATAACTAATGCAAACAATTCTAAGTAATTCAAGAGGTTTTAATTGTTTTAGTTTCTGGAGCGAAAATAAAGATGTGAATCAGTTCCCCGTCCCCATCATAACCCATGTGATCATAAACAGTTTTTGGCTCCATTTTACCACATCGTTACTGCTATACAACACTGCATGTTGAATCATAACGCTGGAAAAAATGTTTGCTTGTTTCATAGCAGATTTTGTATGTATGTATGAAAATAGAATTATTGAATAAAATGAATTTCAGTACGAATGTTGTGATGAATTATACTGATGCAGAAACCAAGGTAAACTCTAAAAAATGTATTATTTTCGTGCTTAAAATTATTTTCAATAATGTATCTACTTTCTAGATTACTAGAAAAGATTACTGATAGTGTTAGTTGAACTCAATTGTTCTTTGTTCACAGCATTTTTGGAAAGGAATTCCAAAATATTGTCTGCCACAATATTGCTAATTCATATATTCTTGCTCAGGTAAGGGAAGCATCCAATGATGATCCTTGGGGGCCCTCTGGAACACTAATGCAGGAAGTTGCTCGCCTCACCTATCAATATACCACTTATGATGAAGTCATGGCTATGCTTTGGAAAAGGATGTTTGAAAACAAAAAGAATTGGAGGCGAATCTATAAGGTTTGTAAAGCCTTGTCCAACAACAAATATTAACTCCAACCTTAGTCTTAATGTCAAATAAATGATATTATAAATACACTTCAGCTTAAATAATTAAATAATATGTGTGTACTGTATGTGAAAATAAGCTGATAACTGGTCCTGTAGATTGCCACTAATTCAAACGTATTACTTTTTCAAGCACTTTTTAAGTATTTCATCTTATTTTATTATGACTGTCCGTTTAGCAGTGGTTTCTATCACTCTACAGTCTACCGCCGTTGATAATGGTTTTTGCAGTTTATTAATAGTTAACCATTGTGCAATCATTGCACATTACACTGCAATGTTCAATACATAAACATATGGACGGATATTGATTAACACCGTGTTTGGTGAGGGAAGGTTAGCTATAAAATAACAATATTTCTTTATGTTATGTTATCGTCTGTAGACTTTTGTAAATTTCTGCAGAACTCTACCATTAAAATGTTCATGGTTGCAGTATTGCATTTTGGTGATAAATGATATTGTCTGATCATAGTGCAGATTTAGTATTTTGGGATATATAGCTAAGACATACAACGACCATCCTTGTTGTATTAAATACTTTTCAAATGTAACAAAGTACGATCAAAATATAAAATCGGTCAAATATTTTTGATACCCAAAACACGATAAACGCATGGTAAACTATGCCGCAATTACTTGGACCCTTTATATCAAGCCGAATAAAATATTGATACAGATTTGTTTATAACTGCACACATCAACGGTTGAGAAGTGTACATACCATGCAATGCAATGGAAACTTATTTTAAAACATTTTTCTATGTATATAACGTCATCTTTATCATACAATAGAAATTTCTATTAGATGTAAGTCAGAATGTGGTGTGTGATAAAAAATTCCGCGTGTTGAGAGATGATGAAAGCATAAAGAGCTGAGAGAAACAAAAGAAAAGAGATTAGGCCTCGCTGATTGTTTTGCTTATCATATTGTCTATTATAACTTTCCTGGACATCTGGTAACCTCGGATTTGAAAAATCTAGCTGATGCTATTAGTGTCATGTCTGTAAATGATGCCTATCACGCAGTTCAATATAATTAGATAACGAAAGACTTTTACAGTGCCTGCTATTGCTCGCATACCTAGTACGCAATGGAAGTGAGCGAGCTGTTGAGAATGCTCGAGATCACTTGTTCGACTTGGGATCTCTAGAAAACTACACTTTCACTGACGAAGTAGGGAAAGATCAAGGGATTAATGGTGAGAAAAAAAGCATTATTTCTTTGTTATTGTAATTTAAATATAATAATTCGTCGGAATTCAACAGAATATCCTAACATCCGGCGATAATTGTTTGTTAGGCAATTTATTAAACCCCTGACAAGCTTTCTTTTTAAATGATAACTTTGAATCTTGATTAATAATATCACCTTATAGTGCGACAACGTGTGACAGAGCTGATCCAGTTCCTTCAAGACGATAAAATGATCAGGGACGAGCGGAAGAAGGCCCGAAAAAACAGGGACAAATACACTGGTGTTTCAAGCGACGAGTTTTCAGGATCTGGATTCGGACCCAGCAAAGGTGAGCTTAAACTCGGTGTTACCTAGCATTGTGTTCAAATAAATGTTTTTGTATGTTTTGTACGGAGAAATAATATATTATTATTGTTGTATTAAAACATTAGATATTGTTCCCGCACTCCGCAGTACTTATCGTGTACATCAAATAATAAAGTTTCTGTTAATACAATCTTGTGCCTGGTGTTAAGATGCAACTATGTATCTTTGTACTCTACCGTAAGAAGATTCGATTGTAATGTCGAGAAATAACATATATTTGCCGATTTTTTTGATATGATCATGTTGTCAAAATATTTGACGACGCTGTTCAAAGGACCAGCTGTAGCTAGAAGCACCAGTACCGATTCTGACCACGGATTTCAAGAATCGAACTTGGACAAACTTCGTACGTAAATCATAGCATGCTGCAACCACTGCTTCACCAAAATAACTGAAAATTAGTCTGTTCGTGTACCGAAATCTACTCAACAAATCATATAATAATCCTAATTAATGTTGTACAAATTTAATGTTATAAATTCGCTACGTGTTGTGACCAATAAAATCATGATGATTACCAAAGTTGTGAAAACAGTTATTATGCATTTTAATTGTGTTGATAAAAGTTATTATGTTTTAATTGTGAACCACGCATGTTCCGTTCATTATATGGTGTAACGCTTGGTATTCTCTTGGGTGTCTTGACGGAGAATGAATTAATAATTTAATATGTGATAATGTGTAATGAAAGATAATTTGAATGATGCAGTGGCGTAACAATACCTCCCTCACCGTCCCCCTCGAAATGAAGACGAAATTACCTGACACACCGCACAGGTCTCTTTCTTTTCATAAAGTAGGCCTAGTCTGGGTCTGCGGGGCCGTGTTCGTTACGCCACTAATGGTATGCCGTCTGCTGATGTGACATGATACATTTTATTACCGTGGAAACTTCTGTAACAATTAATTATAAAAAGTAGCGCTACATCATGTGCTTATTCGGAGTAACCTGTAGTTCTCTAGAAATAGATCACCTTCACACCCCTACATACCTACACAGCATATTTTCAGCATTTTTCTGCTGTAGTCTAGTATCTTTAAATCCAAATCGATTATGTCATATACATACCAATATTAATTACACGATGGAAAATTCGTGATTGGCAAATGATAAAACTTAGCGCTTGTTATCTTAAAATGTGTACTCGATGTACGTTTCCTCTTCATTGGTGTCATGAAATGTGTTGTGATTTTTAGTTAGTAGGTCATTAAATGAACCACGTCTCTCACCTCCTGTTTCATTTTATTTGATTACGAGATAATGGTATCTGCACGCCAATCATGCAATGTGGAATGTAACTACCCGTGGAAGATGTAATTATACGTAACATTATAATCAAATGTACATTGATCTACAAGTCACTGATCTAATTTTACGTTTTGTACTCACAATTTATAAGATGGTACACTATGTTCAGGTTCATTTAGCAGTGGTATTTTCGACAAGGCTAAATCGAAATGGGACGATGATAAAGAGGAAGATTTTAAAATTAAAGACGATCTCAGCTCCTGGAAACCAAAGTAAGTGTTTTAAAGTAATACAGTCAAGTAATATGTAATTATACTTCATTTAAACAAACTGGAAATCTTTCTGACAAGTTTCTGGGAAGTCTCCAAGAACTGTCAGAGTTAGCTGGTCAACATGACAGCTAGCTCGTTAACTGATTAAAACAGAGTGTCATTTGATACTACAGCTGAGCTCCACTCTTACTGGACATCAGCTTCAAATACAGTCACGGTACTTGACAGAGTAGTCAAAGACATGTTCAGTCACTGATGTTTTTGCTTTGAACTTAGGTACTTGTACAGTGTACAGTGTACAGTGTATAATTATCGACTTTGATCTTAATACCGGGCTAATGTGATAATATAAATCACAAAACATTCTAAAAATCTTTGTTTTTTCCCTGCCCATAAAAACATTCTCTGTTATACTCAGAGATCGAAGGACAAATGTTTCTGCCAATGATAATGATGTGTCAACAGGGGTGCGAATGAGAATGTCCCATGAACCTTGGTCGGAAAACAGGTGCCTCTATCTAGCCTCTCCCACTGTACAAAGCCAGTCACTTTAAAGCACATAATATACCTTGTCAAAGCCAAGATATTTGAAAATTCGCCACTCTGTGATGGAACTTGGCCTTCAGTTAAACTGACAAAGATTGAAAGATTACGAAAGCACGGTCATTCGTTTATTATCAAAACCAATGAAAATTATTCACATCGTATCTTGTTCTACAACTGTTCGGTTAAATTACAGTCGCAAGATTTGGGGGACAATGTTATGTACAAGCAATAATAACGAATGGTTTTTAAACGTGAAAACTAATGGTTTTACAGGACTAGGTGGTGTAACATGACATGTTGATAATAATATCGTCTGTTTCAGAACTGATAGTTGGGGTTCCGGACTGAGGAAACCTTACAAGGACGAGGACGAAGAGGAGAGGTCAGTAGATATCTTACATCCGTGTAATTGGGTATTATCTCATTACCAATTACTTATGTGGGAGTTAGGCTTAGGACTATATATTTGCCTAACTGCTAATTGTTTGTGTGCTATTCACCCGAAGCATGTCTTATTGTCGAGTAGCTAGAATGTGAGACATATAATACAGTGAAACCTCTGTGCACTGGGCCTCTCGGACTCGGGGGAAATGAAAAGTGCACCTGTACACTGCAATTGTATAGGAAAAAACCCGGTATAGAGAGGTTCAGTATCTATTATATCCTCTCAAATAACCTGTCAAGCGTCTCATTATATACCTCTTTAGGGGCCACATAAAGCGTTATGTACACCCAATGCGATATGAGCTAGGATTATGTACATTTCTTAACCAAAACACTAAGTATAGTAACTAAACGTTTGGGGGAATAGAAAAGAAGAAGCCCGATATATCGATTATCGAGGTACCCGGTATAGAGAGGTTTTGTTGTACAGTTTTGTAGTACGGTATAATATCATGTGTTAAGGTTTTAACTCGACCTGCAGTATTCCATGTGTACAGAAATGTACAATGTACACAATACATTAATATAAAACCACGATGCACATGTTATGAAGTTGTTCAAATGCCAGATTACTATACATTGGCAGACTATTAGGTATCAGTCGATAGATATCACATACTGTTATGTAATATGCATATATTGTTTTAAACTAATTACAACATTACAAATCTATTACATTTATTGAGGACGTTACAGAATGAATTAATTTAATGTAGTTTGAGGAGTCCTCACTCTCCTCAAGTCGAACAATGGCGTTTCTCTTGTCGCTAATATAAGATAGATAAGTATTAGATAAATACTCAAAGTTTATACACTTTATTACATAATACGGTACACTATATAGCAGATACTGTCCTTTCTGACGTTATATATAGTGTAATATTGCATGACTAGGGCGTGTGCCCGCCCTGAAGAACTTTGATGATATTATTGGATAAAGCGTCATAACAACAATATTCACAACAACACTTCTGTACATTTCGTGATACTCTCAACATTAATTCATTTCTTTAAATGATAAAAGAAAACAATAGTACTCAAATTATAAGCGTCATGTTTACTGAGCTGGAGAATATGTTGGTATTATAGGGGATCATGTTTTATAGGGGGATCATGTTTTATAGGGGGATCATGTTTTATAGGGGATCATGTTTTATAGGGGGATCATTTTTCATAGGGTATCATGTTTTTTGTCCATTTTTTTTGTCCATGCGGTACCCTATTTTCTGAGGATGGACAAAATCTTATGGACAAAAATGGACAAAACAAACATGATCCCCTATTATACTCTACAGTCCTCAGAAGACGAGGACGGCCTGGAATGATCTTGAAGAACTTGAAATTCCCTGCTTTGGAATGATCTTTGAGAAGTTTAAATTTCCAGATATATAAATAGATCTTCTTGTTATTTAAGGTTTGGGCAAGCAGAGAAACTTTATGAACTGAACGAAAGTAGAAATATCGGTTGGGAGGCGATACACTGCAACTTCTGTTAAAAATCAGAACTATTAGATTTTTGTTTGTCACATAATACTGTTACATATGATAATTATGATAATGATATTTATTTTATACTGACGTGTGTTTTATGAAGCATTAGTGTGCCACCTGTTGATTTTAAAAGTAAAAGTTGGCAGTAAAAAATTTGCTTGTTCTATCACAACAGTAATCTTGTAAATTTATGTTAACATTATGCGAGTATATTTTATACATGCTTTTATACAATATACATGTTCGGAATTCCTTTGACTGTTACGTCAGAGTTTTAAATATAATTTTATCAGCGAAAGATTAGGATGTGGCCGGTGTCTTTATATATATGGACCTGGGTATTCGAAATTGAAATTTTCCGATTTAAGGACCTTCTAAAATTGTATTTATAAATATAAATAGAATACATTCAACTATTGACGGCTTCTTTCCCCAACATATTTGTGAAGTCATTGCACTTTGGAATGAAACCAAACTTTCTGCTATTGTAATCATTCCATCGAATACACTGGCGACGAATGTAAACATTCTTACACTAACATTCACCTGTAATTAAAGCAAATATTTTAACTTCCATAATTTGTGTACTATTTCCTTCTTACCAATTACCTAGCATAATTCCTCCGTTACACTTATAACCTAGTATATTTCCATTATATCTTAAACGAAAATGGTGAATCTTGATGTGATCATAGTATGTAATAAACTTAGATATTTGATATCCACATAATTATTATGGCGAGTTTGATTTCTAAGGGCGCTGCCCAACAGTACCACTAACTGTTCCAGTAAGCTATATAGGGGGTGACATGTACATGTAATTTTTTCTTTCAGCGGATATTCTTGGTCCTGCATTTTTCGGAATAAGATCATATTCTATTTGAGCTATTGACGTGATTATTCGGGAACATTTTTATTCAAGCGGCAGTAAGACACAAAAGGATCACGATTAAATTATGTATGGTGGTGAGCCTGTACTACATTTCTTAATTGACAGATAGCTATAACTATAAGTTACAGTTGAATGGTTAATATCATGACAACCATTCCGTACCTACCTTCCTATTAAACCTATTGAGCTATTGAGAGTTATAAACCCGAATTTAAAATTCGTGCTATTTCATGATAAAAGAAGCTTCTAGCATGCAAATCTAGGCTGAAAGTGATATCTATGAGCATTTCATTGTCATTCATTCTAGGAAGTAGAGTGATGGAAATCATTAATATATGCTATATTTAATATTTATGCCTTATCCAATTATTGGTGAGAATTAAAAAGAACGTAGTAGCATGGACCATGCCATTAATACTCACATTATTGTAGTGTTTGTCACCCTCAATATACATACTATTATTGCTACATGCGCTAGAACCTTCCCCTTATTGCAGCAAAGAAGAGAAGGGATTTGATGCTGTAAGGGAAGAGGCCGCTGAAGACGATGATGATTTTGATTTTATTCGGTCGAAGAGCAGCGCCATCTCTAACGATGCGCCCCGCAAGAAAGCCGAACCCAGTAAATTGGTTGGGTTAGGGGCTGCTTCTAGCTTCGCTAAGTAAGCTTTGTTGTGTTCTTTTGGAGCATTAGCTTTTGAAATTATATATTTCATTGATTAACGTATTGACAGTTTCAAAATATTCTAAATCATTACGAAAATTTCTAGATCATTCAATTTTGCTTGTACAAAAGCTCTCTTTGGCTGTCTGACCGTTTTAAATCACAAACGATTCTAAACGGTTAACTATCACTTACTTTCCAATAACGAACTGATAACAGGGGCGGTGAGACACCAGCAGCAGCTGTTCCAGCGCCAACTCAAGAACCATTTGATCCGTTTAAAGAAAACTCAAAGGTGGAGGAGACTGCAGATTTGTTCAATTTTGGGGACGATCCTGCCCCTCTCCCTTCACAATCAGGTGCGATAGTTAAAGCTGTTCTTCTTTTTCATTTTATTCATGATCTTCTCACTTTATCGCTGGGCAGCTTTTCGTGTTCGTGTGCTGTTTCATTTAAAACAGATTTTCCATGCTTTGTCACTTTTTCAGCTGCTGCTGAACATGCTGATCCTTTCTTCGGATCGGAATCTCCAACAAATGATGGTGAGATAGCGTTCAGTGTTGTTTCCCTTGTATCTGCCAAATATGTAAATATCTTGACACGTGTGCTCTTGAAGGCGTTTCGTTGCAATGATAATTCAAGAACATAATTAAGGTATTTTACGGAACACGCGAAATAGTTAAAATGATTCAAAATGTGCTGTTGTGAATTGCCACTAAATCACGCGCAGCTAGCGCAGCTTAGCTAGCGCGCTTAGCTAAGCTAGGTAGCACGCACGTACGTGTGTTCTAATCGATTCGATCTGTATCTGTACGCGTGTACATTACATAAACAATGTGAGTCACATTTTTGTCACAGTCCTAACCTAGTTATTGAATTACGAAGCAGTCGAAGTACCGATAGAATTTCCACTCTAAGCTATCTTCTTTCGTTTGTCGCTAACTGAGCTGCTCATCTCTAATCCCATGGGATTTGCGAAGCAGGAAATGCTAATTTAATACATTCCATCACTAACAATACATTGATTCCTTTTATCTTGATCAAAATGATCGTTAGCATTAATTGTTCACATTATTGCTAACCAGGTTTTGCAGATTTCGCGTCCTTCCAGTCGGCGCCTGCTAATGAAGCTAAACCAGCCGCTAATGGGCTAGAAGCGGACTTATTTGGACTAAGCTTGGTAAGTTCTGTGGAGTGTGGATAAATTACTGTTCGATTTCGTATTTGTCGAATGTCGCATACTTTACAGACTTAATTTCAATCATAAGCCGCAGACTCAGTCCATTTCCAATTCAACATAAGTGTTATCATTTAAGCTTGGGTGATGAAAAATACGATGAGAGTTGATATTTTGTTGTTCTGAAGAACTTCAGCCAATATTACTTGTTAATAACAAGTTAGAGTTTTTACTTTAGCAGTCTTGAAGTTATCATTTCCAGGGTCAAGCACCAGCCGCAGCCCCTGTCCCAGCAGCATCTACAGATCTGTTCGGATTATCGTCAGCACCACAAGCAGCTCCAGCACAACCTGCTGCAGCTGACCCGTTTGCTGCGTTCGCATCCCTTTCCGCTTCTCAGCCCGCAGCGCAGCCCAACTTGATGGACGACTTTGCTGGTTTTGGTGCGCCCAGTAATCCTGCTCTTACTCAGACAGTTCCTAGCCAACCTGTCCAACCCATGATGAATCTCATGCCCCAAAATCAGTCTCTGATATCTCAAAACCAGCCTATCATGTCCACCAGCACGAACCAGCCTATGATGACGCAGGGTCAGCAGCCTATGATGTTCCCAAATCAAGGGATGATGATGGCACCACAAAGTCAAGGAATGATGCAGCAAGGAATGGCTCCCCAGACTGCCCAGCCTGCTCCCAAACAGTCTCAACCACAGGTTTAGTCTAAGTTATCACATTATCATTCTGATTGAAGGGTGCTATAGTTTACGCTTGCCTTCTATGGTTCTTGCCACACTATTATAAATATCTAATTGATTATTAAACTAGTATCTTGATTTTTATTATATATCTAAGTGTGTTATTTTCAGACGGGTATGTGGAACGTCAGTGGTCTTGACATCTCGTTAGATAATCTGAGCGGTGGTGGTCCTAAACAAAACAGGGGCGTTCCTATGTCTCAGATGATGGTGAGTTATTATTAGTAATTCTGTGAGAAGTTAAGGGGGCCGGGGGGGTCTTCATCAAAATTATCTCGAAATCGACTTTATAGTTGTTTCTGATAGAGGGGAGTGATATCTTTCAGCTGCTTTTAGTCCCATGGAAAAATATTGTTCCTAGCCGAAATTATCGCCGGTCTAAGGTCAGCGCTTATGTGTAATTATATTGCGCGAGCGATTTTCAATCGCAAATTCTGAAAATAGAGTCTAAAAATCTATCTTCTCCCACATTTTTTGAGCAATCACCCTGAAACTTTCAGGATATGTTCTAGGGTCCATTTAGAAGAGATGGATCATACAAAATTTTGAGATAGGCCTTTACAAGGGTTAGCGAACGAGGTTTTTTTTGTATATGGTAGCTTTTCGACCGTCGTGTGTCGTGCGTGTGTACATGCCCTCGCGCACTGTTATCGCCCACGTGACTACCTGCGCACAAATCTGAATTAAATAATTGTTGGTGCGCGGCGCTGAACTAACCAAGTACATTATTAATTTCACAATGTACATATCCCACTAGGCACTAATTGATAGCATACTATTATTATTTTGAGCTACTATTACTATTTTGCACAGATCCGTGTCGGGTGTCAGGTTGCATAAACAATAATCATATGGTTACATAGAAATATACACGATTTTCAAATTCAATATGGAATTATATTAACTTGGTGGCGCTCGGCCTGTCACTCCGCTATATCTGCATGCTTATAAACAGTTAAACTGGGATCTCCAGGTTGTATGGAATATGATAAAATACGCCATCACGGATCGGGAAATTGAGCGGCCATCCACAAAAGAAAAGCGGCCGCATTTCTTGTTTGAATATAAAACTGTATTTATCTGGTCATACATCCGAATCCCGACGGCACTCTCGTGGCACTATGGTGGCACTCGCGGCATCGAGTACACTTTTCATAATCTCTCTAATTTTCCTTATTAAGTTTCTAACTAGTATTAGTGCCACGAGAGTGCCGTCGGGATTAGGATGTATGACCATTTATTTAAGTGATTTTTAAGATTTCTTCATTAGACTAAAGATTTAACCCCTCAGCCGGGCCAGCCAGTACAGTATCCCCCTATGCAGTACGGTGGAATGCAACAGGGAGGTGGAGCTATGAACTTCCAGCAAGGTGGAATGCAAATGGGTGGCGGTATGCCAAACATGATGCCCATGCAACAACAACAGCAGCAGCCGCAGCAAGGCATGCAAAACTTCGGACAATTCAATCAGATGCCTCAGCAACAAAGAGGCAGCGTACCCCAACAGAATTTCTTACCCATGGGTAGTAACTCGGGCGGTGGATTTAGCCAGCCACCCGGTTCATTTAATAATCAGCAGGGATTTCAACAACTAGGCAATCTGAGCTGAGTGAGAGAGGACTTTAGTTCTTATTCTCTTCTAGGAGGAGTCAGTCAGAGGTTAACTCTGCAGGTGTGCTGGTTCACATCCGCAGCTTCTCCTCACAACCGTGGGACTCTTGACAAGTGTCTTGCAAAGAGTTTGCTGATTTTATGTTCAAAATTCGGGCTCCGGGGCAGGTGGCTTCATGTGATATTATATATATTGAGTGATGTGTCATGATATTATGGAATAAGTGTTTTTAATTTAGTAAGCTGTACTGAAAGTCTAACTAGAATCACCGTAGAATATATATATATATATATATATATATTCAATATAACCAAGTTTTATCAACAACTACTTGTGAAATTCAAATTCAACTGACTTACTTCTTTGATTTTGTTTAAGTTTACCTTAATTAAACGAAAAGATTACTTCCAGAGTAATTTGTAGGAGTTAATTTTTATAAATTTCTGTTCATTTAAAAAGACTTGCAGATAATTAGTCAATAGCTATGATATTGCTATTAACCTGCCCTTTTAAATCTTCGAGAAGTTAGAACGTAAATTTGTTATCAGCTATTTTGTAAAATGTAAAATACGTGTAATTTTGAGAGGTTGATTTTCCAATTTACTTCATTTAATAAAGTTTTGCCTTCGTAACTCTTGCTGTGCGAAGTAGCAAACCATATATGGAATATTTATAATTACCGCACGCCTTAACTAGGAAAAAAATAAGATGCTGTTTAAAATTACGAACATTTCTTGAGTTTCATCACCTTTAAAATCTGCGAACAGATAAAAGAGTGATTCAGATTGATTTAAATAATAAACTTCTGTTAATGGCCAACTGCTATCTAACGAAGGGCCTCTGTTGTGATATAAAGCAAAGGTATTATTTTATGTTCTGATTACATTATTAGTTGATACTTGCAGGATACATTTTGTACAGTGTAAACTCTTGTTTAATTGCAATATGACTGAAACTGATGTATAACAGCGTACATTCATTTAAATAAGTACTGAAATTGCAAACATTTAAATCAAATACTCTAAAAATAAAGAAAAGGCAACTCTTGCATGACAATTAATTGTAAACAGAATATTTCTTGATTCAATATCAAGCTGTTTTAAGAATAAGTACAAACAGATATCCAAATTTGACATTCTAAACTACCAAGAATTCTAAAAAGCACGCAGCATTTCTGTAGGTGCCATGAACCCTGTTCGGTTTTCGGGTACATCTACAAAGACAACATCTAAACTACAGTCCTCTGAAAGAGTGCCCTCTAAAACGGAAGAGTGGCTGTAACTGCCAGAAAGACCACATAGAAGATTGTAACAGGTAATGTGCTTCTTGTTGTCCCACCAGACATGGCATAGTCGTATTCATGGTTGTAACACCACCCTTGGTCACAGTACTGGGGAACATTGTTCGTTAGTCTAATATAGTACCGTGGTAGGAGTAAGAGGGCATTTTTGTCCCATTTAACTTACAACTATATAAGTCAAAAATGGTAGTAGAAAACCATGATTATTTGCAGGATAATACTAACCTTCAAAGGTACATCTTAAGTTACCTTACGAGACATATTTAAATGGTACAAAAGTCGGTGGTTTTTGCTAAGAAAACACCATATTTTCGGACTACCAAAATTTAGATCATCATTATTTTCCCCAAATTATTTTTCACGTATTTTACTTATATATTAATTATGACTTGATCGATTTACTATCAACTTATCAATATGTAGTAAGTTATAAATATGATTAATCGAAAAATTAATGAACACTAGTATTCGATCATGAATTGAAGTTCCATTAAAAATAAGCAAGCTCTTAGCTCTGTCACTACGTTATTGGCACTGCGGTGAAATTTCGGGAGTAGTGGATAACAAACACTGTCGGTCTCATACTCTGGATGATTATAAGTTAAGTTGAGGCTAAATTTAAAAAGCTCCGGAGAAATTGTTTACAAGATGAAACAGCTGATCAGAGAAGATCTTTGTATTTAATTTTCTCGAATATTGGGTTTCATTTTTGTAAAATAAGGAGATGACAGAAATATCCCCAAATACCATGATTTAATTTGGGGTACGAAATGTGGCGGTTTTCGGGAAAAATCCCCATATTTTCTTTCCCAAATCATTTAGGTCACCGGAATTATGTCGAATATAAATATGTCTCGTAAGGTATATACTATTGTGAATGCAAAGAAATGTATTGTTTTTTTCAGGTTCTGTTTATTTTATATTTATCATCAAAATGATTTTAGAAAAACTGTCCACCGTCGCACACAGTATAATTCTGGTGGTCGGTTATCTGCAATTTTACGACTACTTTAGTAGCCGGGTACACAATCCCCCGCCCACAAATAGAATTAGAATGAAAATGAAAGCAAAACAAATATTGTTACTACTACCTGATCAGGCATACAATTGCAGTAATCTGTTGAATTATTCATGTACCCACTGTCGCTCTTGTACCAGCAGTTCATTCCATCTCTGTCACATTCTATCATTCCAGCAGCTGTGAGGAAACCAAGTTACATTTACCATTATTGGGCATTATAATTATGGGCATTATATCCAATCCACGGCCATGGGTGAATATAGATATATTAACATAGTTCTTTGAAGATTACATGTGAGAATATTCTTATTGTCATACGGCTCCCCCTGTATCGTAAGAACGATAAAGGGGGGTCACGACGTGATACAATATTCTTAATGGTCGCCCCTGATTCGTGGAGGTTGGGAATGCCGGAACACGGAATGAGGTGGTCAATGTTTGATCATGCCAGTGGCGTAACGTCGCGTGTCGCCCCCCCCCCCCCCACAGCTAGTACTTTACTTAAGTTTTCCAAAATTGTCCCACATTCAAACGACGATTTGACGCCCCCTAAGGTGGGGCTCTTCGTTACGCCACTGGGTTGAATGCTGATACCACACATTTATCTGGGAAGTGGGAACCCCTAAATATAATTTGAAGTTGAAATAATTGTATAATTTACTGCACTGATTACTCACGCATGCATTGGTCGGGGCTAGTTGACGTCATGTACATTGTGGTAGATCCGTAAGGGCATGAGAGACACTCTCGGCCGTTGCCATAGGTGCCACGACGGCACGGTTCACATTTCACTTCCCTTCGAGATAATGGGTTAGAATAATGATGATTTTTAGGTCCTCTCTCTCTCTTGATATAACGATTATAATAGGAATCTTAAATGACAGTATAGAACTTTTTCTGGAATGTAATTGTAAACTGTTCGTGTACCTGTTTTCAAATTAACTATTTACCCGGTCCATTCCATAGTAGTGTATATAGCCTGAGCTCTGTACCCAGTTTTACATCTCCCGGCGTCCTCTTGTACACGTTCTATTTCTCTTTCTATATCTGGAGCGATCATTTTATTACTTTAAAAAAATCAAATCGAATTATATTTCTCTAAACGTACGGAAATGAACATATCAACGGGAATTGGGGAGTTAAGTTAAATTGAAATGAAAACTATCTAAGGGCAAGGGATCGTTCACATATTACGTAATCACGATTTGGACATTGGAAAATTGTACCCCCGCCCCCTCCGTAAAGGTAAAGTTAAACAGTTTTACACATAGCTATTGTGTTAAAATGACACTAGCGTAATCATTTGGAAACCCTTGTCCCCCTCAGTAATTACGTAATATGTGAAACTGAACGACCCCTCACAGCTTACCCTTCTTGTGTCTCCTGTAAAGAATGTCCTCCTGCCCGAAGTTTACATATCGCACACTCACAGCGGCAGCACTGCCACACACTCCATAAGGCTGCCGGCTCCTAATCTCCACAACCACCTCTCTGTTCACAAACAAGCACAACAGGGTTTCGTTTTTGAATAGTCTCCAATCCCCTGTCATGTCAAAGTTTCCTGATTCTATCCAGTTGCACACCTGGTCGTTCCCTTTGAAAGCGATCGAGTTAGGTGATAAGGCCAGGGTCCCGATAATACCCATATATTTGTCCAGCATCTTTATTGTCACATTTAATGTGCCGGGTACCGCCCGGAATTCTACTTCTGTTTCTGTCCTCCATTCTAACCCTGAAATGTGTCAGTGCGATGGTATAAAATTTGTATCTTACAATCGTGAACTGTAAATTAGTTGTTTCGACTATAGTAAACCAATCTGTTCGAATCATACATGATCAGTATGTATTTGTAGTTGGCTGTGATGAGCTGAAAACAGTCTGTTTTTAATTTTGCAGGTCCGGTTTTCTAAACTTTTTCAGTTTCATCCACGTTAGAACATATCTAGCGATAATAAAATTGTGTCTAGTTTAGACAGAAACAAATTGTCGTTTCTATGGCGATCAATCAGTTATACCTTGTTCGTGTAGGTCGAAATAATCTGGAGCACAGTAAGGACACGATCTAATGTATCTCATTTCATCCGGCCCCGATTTATCTGGAACAAATGTAATCATGTAAAATTTGTAAATGGTAACTGTATCTGTATCAATCAGCTCGATGTAAGATTATAGACAACTTGATTGATTGTATGATGTATCGGGTTAACTATCCTACCATTGATAATGATAGTTAATGTTATCAGTCCATTGGTTATATTAATGTTGGTTAAACTTTGTGTAGATTCTCAATTAGATCTTATTTTCACTTACTGATTTCGCGGTATTGCAGGTAGCTCAAACTGGAAGTTTCTGCATTAAATCCGTCCACAACATTCCCACTATACGTGTAATTGCACTGAACTCCTCCTTCAGCAAATTCATAGGTCAGTAATACTGTATCTTCTTTGCAGACCTGTCAGAATTCTCTTTTTAATGAAAAATAAACATTGATCGATTAAATTCTTAAGTTTTTTCTCAGTTGTTCTGGGTTTTTAAATCAGGTTAGCAGCCCAGCAATCTTCCTTTAAAACGATATACAAGTACAAACCACTAGATGAGTCTCGTTCTTTTCAAAAATCCAAGTTCCGAGCATCATCCTTGGGCGGCTGACGTAGTATAAATTAGCATTGCTTTTTCCTGTGTTCTCAAAACATCCTTCCAATGTTAAAAACATTCTACTCAACGTTATCGCACCTGTTTAGGATTGCAATTAAGCTATAAAATATTTAGTAGTGTTTTATCCAGCTAGCATATTCTCAAGAGACTTTTCATCATTTGCATAAACCATCAATTAGACGGAACCAAGTGTCGAAATTTTCTAAAGTGGCCATTTTTTGTGGTGACGTCGCCAATTTTATCTATTTCGTAACCACCATAAAAACTGATAGTCTCATTGTCACAATTTCCGTTAAAGAACTAAGAACAGAGGCATCAGTACTACCAGAAGCTGACAATGGTGATTTGGTTAGCACCGCAATCCACATTCCACATGTTCCATCGCAATGATTCCATCGGCAACCACTTGCAATTATTCGCCGGCTTAGTGCTGCCTATGCTAGTTGTTAATTGACAGTGCCGTCAAATGGTGCAAATGATGAGGACAATAACGCCACTGGACTTCTCTAAAGTGCATCATAATAATGACTTTAATTTCGAAGAAGAAGGAATATCTATATAAATATTCAACAATGAAGCTCTTAAAAATCGTTTAACTGTAACAAATTACCTAGTCGTGTTGGCTCGGTTTCCATGTCAACACCCCAGTCAGCAAACAACTGAACAGTAAACGAGTCGATATCCCTTTCATCCACTTGACCAGGGTCTAGGTGAATAATTAGACCTGATCGCTCTAGTTTGAGTGGGTACTTCATTCTCTGACTGGCCTTCATCCAATCATTGTTACTGAATCTCTCTGGTCCACTCATCTCAGCTACTGAAGGGTGAGGAAACTTGTGATTTCATAGTCCAACTGAGAGTGACATAATATAAGTCACGACTCACGTTCATAAAAATGTCCAATTTAAAGTCTAATATTAATATTAATAAAGCGTTTTCCAGCAACATTTGTGCATTACACAGCTGGTGCAGGCTATAATAGCCTTGGTCAAAAGTTGTGTTATTCCTACTACTATACCTGCTATATCCTACTACTATTAACTATACCTGCCGCTCTATACTGAGTAAATATAAACTGAGTTTTTCCCAGATTATCCAAATCTTCGAAGTTAACGAATCCCACTGTGTCTCCCGCAAATGGAGATTCGCAGCCATTTTGAGAAGGATTTGTTTGGTAAGGATCTAAAGGAAGTTCCTTGAGGAAGTGCACCTCTGTACCATAGGTCACCTCCAAGTGGGTGTAGTTCTTCATCACACACAACATGTTGTTTATCCCTGTTAGGAAGAGTCTCAGAGGAACTTCTGTACAGATTATTGGTAACTGTTTGGAGTCTTAAATTCATTCCTATGGTTTCACTCAATATGATCGTGAATTTCTACAATCCAGGTAAATCGGGGTTTTACTGTTTTTGGTATCCTTATGACCAATCTAGAAAACATGACGTATATTATAGAGTCGATTACACTTACAGCAGTTAAGGCAAAACTTGCTCGCGTAATCACAGATCTACCTAAAAATAAAAGCAACCAGATTATAGAATTGTCTAACCTTTTTCACTGATCGTGTAATTTATACTAATATCGCTGAAGTCGTCAGAATTACTTCTACTGCACTGATGGCCATAGGTTGTATTAAGGACTATCATTCCTTTGTCCCAAAACAAAGTTCCCAGATTTTCTAAATCGTCTCTGAAGTATTTTACATGATTTGCATGATTTGCATAACACTTACCAACGTATGTGTTGGTTATTTCTATGCAATACTACTAACGACCCTGCCAAATTTAATAAAATAATGTTGCATGGCTGATGGCAGAACATTAAACAAATAATTTACCATTTAATGTCAAATGTCAATGAGTATGCAACTTTACAGTATTAGACTAACCCTTTGAAACCCATCTTATATCTCATCGACGATGGCGTATTCGGTGTCATAATGTCGAGTCCTTTGCACTCCAAGTCCCACTTTATAAATTCTTTTTGGCATCTTACATTTTCATCACAAATTTTCTTGTACTCAAGCTCTTCAATTTAGGAAAAAGTTTGGTTTATTATTATAATTTCGAAATTAGCGTAGTCAAGTTTTCATGCGATCTTCATATATACTTTTGTGTTAATTTGATCACGGTTCATAGCTGACCGTCTAAAATAGACCACTGACCTTCAATAGGGAGTCTCTGGCCGTGAGCCTCAATGCTCGCAATCTCCATCTTGCCTCGTTCGACGCTGACCCTGACACTGGTTACCAGTGTGACGGGCTTAGTGCAGTTCCACTTGGTATTCCACTCCAGCTTGCATGATCTCATCTTCTTGTCACCGTTATAGAGGTCCACTGTGTGGTTCGAGAGGGGTGTCTTGCTTGTTGATTTTAACGAGAAAAGGATCCACTCAGGGAGAGAGGGCTGAGGGATGGGGATGGGGTTATTTGGGGGAGGGGGGTTATTTTGGGGTTTGTTTGAACATTGACCTGATTCCTAAAGCTTCGCGTATGTAATAAGAACCGTGTTGTTTTCATAACGGAATTTAAGTTGGCATTGGTTTATAAATTATTATAATTTATGTCCTTTGTAATTTTAGGGATTTAATAGCGACGTTGTAATACTAATATTAGTAAACCAAGATCACAACTTTATCCGATAATAAGTCACAACTATGTACTGATGAAAAAGAAAGAATAGTACGGTGTCAAAGTAGAGTTGTATCCACGAGTTTTTGGTAGATTGAGTGCACGAGTATGTTGCAGGATCTTCATCAATAGCCTCCCTGGCGAAGTGTACCGAGGGAAAGGAGTATCCCTTGCCTCGACTTTGTCTAGCATGAGAGAACTGTAGTAGCTCACACTGCGCACCTGTATAGTCGGATGTGAAGTGTCTGGGTACTGGTAGTGATACTGATCGTAGTAAAGGTGGTTTATATATCAACCTTTACTCAGATCAGTATATACATATATATACAGGTGCTGTAGATAATGACTCCAACCCTTGATTCCCCTGATCCTTGTAACATTTTGCGATCGACAATTGACATCCCCTCCATCAAAATAATCACCATAATTAAATTGATATTGTTTAATGGTTTTATAATTGGTTCACTTTAAGCTCCGTACAGGTCTTCAGTCCCAGTGCAACGATAACATTTCTGTTAATCAATACAACCTAGTTAGAATGCCTTATTGCCTTATGCGATGTCGCGATGATGAAAATATGACAGATATCCTCTAAACTGGAGCTAAGAACTTACTGGGGGGCCGGGGGGGGGGGGGGGGGGGCAACTTACTGTGAAAACCGAAAACCAGCAGGAACACGAGATGGATGATTATCAAAACCATTTCAGCGAAAACATAAATAAAATGATAGTTTGTTGAAGCGATTCATTTTAAAGGGTCGAAAACGGCCACCTCAATTTCACCTTACTACTTACAACTCATCATAATGCATGTCACAAAATTCATTTCGGCTCTGATCTAGATTTCTTAGATTAGTAGGTTGTAGGTATCATCCGTTGTGCGTTCGCTTCTTCGTCTGATTGGACTATTCAGAATTCAGAAATCAAATATTTCTTGTAAAGTTGTAATAACTTGCCGTACGATTTTGTAATTTATGAATAGGCTCTCAGCAGAGATTGTCTTTCAATCAAATGCATGCTAGATATTAAATCGTAATTTTGGACCAAATTGTAGTCACGTTTTGTGCTCGAAATTGGAGAAAAAAAATTGAGAATTGTCTCATTCTTATGAAATTTTTATCACAAATCTTCTGCTGCAGCTTAACTGTAAAATTGTGGGATTCTTACTGAAAGAACAAAAAAAACTTTTGGTGAACATTTAAAATTCAATACTTCTAACAATAAATTAGAAAGCAATCTAAAATCGTTATTAAATTAATCAATTTTAATCGTTATTAAATCAAAGCATCAAGGTACAATAAACGTCTATTTCAATATTTCATTTGCAGTACAAGTTAACACAATCTACTATATATCTACGAGAAAGGCTCAAACGTTTTCTCAACATTGTCTATGTGTCACTACGAGGGCAACAACTGCTATCATGGCTGTTCAAAGTTTGATTGAAATCACGTGACCATGATACTTCCTAATCTATATTGTATAATCAGTGTTATCTATGAGTTTTTTTCTCGAATAAACGCCAGATTTCAATCTGTTAACGCCACGGGGTTTCATATTTAGCAATGAATTCATTTGGTTTCCCCTATTTCTGAAGACTAAGATGGCGTGGCAGAAACCACAACCTGTCTTTTCTTCTAAACTTTTGTCTTCTATCCATCACCATGATCATTCATCATGTTCACAATTTCTCGGTCGATATGTTATCTCACGCGTGTTCCCGCACCACGTGACGTCACACTACTTGATACGTCACGTCACGTGACGCGTCGTTACGTCACAGGATGTCACGGCACGGCGTCGTTAGATGTGTCATTTACTCCAAATGTGTTGCATTTTGCGAGCCACTGAAGCAGGTAGTCGACTCGCTTCATTGAAAGTATGCTGCGCCACAACACGTAACATCTACCCCTGGCAATAGTACGTTTTAAATTATCTGACGATAAACTTCCGCGTGTGATTCAGTTTTAGTTTGTTTATCACGAGAAAAAGATACTGTCGACTTTCATAGCTACAATCGTGGGACTGACCTGATAGCGCAGAAGTTACGACGACAATGGCATCTCATGTCGTGGGAAGGGCAGGACTCCAACTTTCTACCTGAAAAATGGGGAAATGTTAGACTATCATTCAAGAATCTAATGAAAGAGTTAAATCTGATGAATTAATTCTGACAAATTGGAGAATATTCGTCAAATTTTGAATGCGATTTAATTTTTAAAGTAAGATTCACTTAAACATTCCTGAGGAATGCAATGGCATAATTAAATCAATCCCAAGACGGTTATTTTTAGTAAAACATTCAAGAGTAAAGTCATTGTTTAACTCTGGTTAATTCTGGTTCGCTCGTTCACAGAATATAACTACCACGGACATATCTTATGATGATGATCTAGAAACATATAAACTTCGAACACTTGATAGATGCAATAGAGAGAATTCCTAAGACAATGACTCATTGGGGAAGTCCAATTTTACGCAAAGTTAGGAAGAAGGCTGAGACGATGAGAACCGATTTAAGAGAGAATTTGTCAAAAATACAAAGTTTAATCCTAAGGAGAATGCTCTATTATACTGCGGTTTAAGTCGATCTGTTAATTAGTGGGTGTATTATGTGAACCAACATATTTAAAATTAGTGCTCAGAGCATCGTCTATTTGTCCCTGGGAAGGTGCTGATCTCAAACATTTGAAGGGTGAAAGTGTCAGGATACGTAACTGACCTAGCTTTTTTCAAGTTAAAACTTTATTATCCACAAAACTCTCTCACCATTCAATAAGCTAAGATAACCGCTACTTAATACTTTTGACCGCATTCGCAAAATCATCAGTCTCAGTGCATAAAATTCGCATTTCATGAAATATTTTGACCATCATTAAGCAGTGTTTAAAAGAACACAAAACTGAATATCTAAATATTATGAACTATTTAAAAGAACATAATGAAAAAACTTAAACTTCCGTACTCATAATCACACTTAATTCGACGGACACTGAGCTCAGTGTCTGTAAAATTAAGTTTGATCACGGAATTTTAGCGGAGACAGATCTGACATAACTTACATCGTGGGAGCGACCTTAAGTCTTTGAAGTCGACGTAGTTCTCACAGTTGTTATGGGCACTGAAGTGCTCTAAACATTCACAAGACATGTGTTTAATGTTGGAGGAGTAGGTCTTGCAACCTTGCTGCCGCGTGAACTCCCAATCTTCTATTTCGTTTGATTCTGGGACGAGTTTGGAGATGATTTGTGAAATGATCTGATAAATTCCATACCACTGATCTAAGTAATGGCTAAAGATTAATGAAATCCTGTGTCTGGAACTCGGAACATCAATATATCAACAGATTAATGTAATGAACTTATCAGCCATTAAGTAATAACCCGGTTACAGGTATCACTTTTATTAGACACACTGTGATACAACCAGATCAAGATGCAAAAGACAAACTATAATCATAAAACTCAAGTTACCTTTGCCATTGTGGTCCTTTCCTTTGAAAATGGGGGCCGCCAAACCCAGTAAATAACCTGACAACACCAGGTATACTCTCAAACCCATATCTTTACTCGTGTACAGAGTCTCTGATATCTCGTTACTAGGTTACTAATTAATCTGTATATCAGGATACTGGGCTAGTTACTTAGTAACTCCACTCGTAACTAGGTTACCGATTTCATCCTGCTATTGAGATTTGTTGTCAACAAACATTTCACTTGTCACTCTTTACCGACTACGTTATGTATGAAAGTTATAGTGTAAATTTCCTATAACTCGCCATGAAAATACAATTATAACAAGACTGTTTTTGATTTACAAAGTGTAGGAGTCACTGTCAGTATAATCACTAAAGCCCAACCTATCACATCCATCAATAGACATATCAATAGGGTTCAAGGACAAAGAAATGATAACAAAAAACCCCAAGAAAAGCTCCACTCAGGAAAGACGATAATGACAAAAATGTATCGAATTCCTAAAGCTAAGGTACGAGACCAGTGTTTAAAGAAGCTTCTGGCCGGCACAAAGTGGAAAGCCTCAACGTAGTTAGAGCTGGAGTCGAACTATAAGTATACTGACATATCTAAAGCTGGTTCCTAAACCTTAGTCCTGGATGTGATGACTCATATTCAGCCTAATTTTATCACATCCTTATGTCTAGGAGTGCAGGGGAGTCGGTAGTTTCCCTGAAATTTCCCCCACATTCTTGTACACACAGACGTTTTATCATATTGTTCAACATTCGTAATACTTTACATATTTTACCCGCCAGATTCGCCAGAACTGCTTCTCGGGCTTGATGAGGTAGAGTGTAGACAGAATGAGGGCCGTCTTAAAAAAGGTCTCCAAACAGATCACTTTTCTTACTAATAATAATACTACGGATGTCCCCAGTCAGTCCCCAGTCAGTAACCTTGCACGTGCCGAATCAAACGCATCTTTGCAATCTATGTTAAACATCAGGGCTGGAATATATCATGGGTTTCAGGTCATGAAGTTGAACGCCTTTTGAAATCATTCGTAAACAAAGCAAGAAATAATCAGGTTAGCGGGGGCTTTCCGGTGCAATCCATGGGAATTGGGATATCGAACTGCGAAATGACAAAAACCCAAAAGAAGACAAATTCACTAACAAAACTTCAAACAAAGTAATTATTATAATACGTGCCGGATGGCCAATTTCGATCACGCCGTGATGTCAGCAAATAGATCAAATTCCAAGAATTTTAAACTAAATAGAAATTTGACACTGTAGGAGTTAGGAATGATAATGTATAGTGAAGTTAGCGTGGCTGTGGGGCTCGGCCCAGCCCCTGTGCCTACATAGTATCACATATCCCAAAATACCTCTCTTTATCGTAATAGAATACAGTAAAATATATTAATATTTACGATCACGGATGCAGATTTAACATAGGGAGAAGCACAGCAGGTAGACTCACTTGAGAAGTGACGAATGGCAATGCATTTTAGGGCACTTATTCTAACCATAAGTCACGTGAAGCGCTACCAAGTCGCTGATTGGTCACCCAGTCGACCTAACCGGGCTGGGATTGGTTGACAACTCAGGGTGAGGTTAGCTGGGCGCTAACCGTTTCCTCATCCCCTGATTTTAGTATGTAATCAGCGACACTAGAGACTGTAATGCATTGCACTAGGCTACCCGTAGTGCTGAGGTTACAACATGTCACAATATATTGGTTAGGAGAATTGTGGTGTATACATTGCCGAGTTATCGAAATGTCACGGTGGGCAAAAGTCGGAGAAAGTTAAGCTATCACCAATGCCGTAAATATTTCCTAACTGATAGCAAAATCTTCGTAACTCCTAATTTATAGAATAAAAAATGAAAAGATATGAAAAATTAATATCTAAACTCCGCTCTTATCAACAATCCATAATATTAAAGGAAGAGATTACCTATGTCAGGGCGGCTCTGACGTATTATTTTTTCATCGGCCGATTAAAATGTTGGGTAAAAAGTCGGGTAAAAGTGAACAATGCCATATTAGGTTGATATTATCTATGTTTTCTCCTCTTGTAGGTTTATTTCTAAAGTAATAATAATAGTGGAAGATAGAATTCTCAATTTGTATCGACCAAATATGGTATTGTTCAAATGTTTTCCCAACTAACCTTCCAATCTACTGTTGAAGACACACAGACACACAGACGTTAAGATGACTTTAATCTCTTAGGGGTATTAAGTTTGGCTGCGCTGATATTTTAGATGATCGAAGCGGATGGAAAAACTGTTCAACAGAATATTCAATGCCAAACTTGTCGATGCATGTTGTGTATTCTCTCTTTCTTTCAGTAATTACTAAAAAAGTAAGCCTACACCTAGCTAGAGGACAATATAGAGGTAGCATCTATCATTTATATGATATTAACCTATTATCTTTTCATCCAACCCTTCAATATGAAAACACATATACGGCATCTCCTAAAAATGATATTTTCAAAAGAAAACCTGTTATCGACGGCTGTCAAATAACTAAGCAAAGAGAAATGGTTGTCAGATGAAAACTTGAATATTTGAACAACAGAAGCAAGACACCAACTGTGACCCAGGACAAAGCCCCTTTGTTTCACAATAAGATCCTTGTTGACTTGATCAGACAATGAGCATGCTCTCTCAGGAAACCCTGACATTTACCCATTGGTAGTTTACATTCCCTCTTCTCTTCCTATTGGCTAGCGACTCTAAACCGAGCAATCTTATTGGCTAGCGACCACAAATCGAGTAATCTTATTGGCTGGTGACTCTAAACCGAACAGTCGTATTGAATAGTCGTTCCGGATGACGAAGCCTTTGTTTCAAACTTAACTCGAAGGAAGATGGTTGTTTCCACCATTGTATTTTTTTTATGAATGTGCTCAGCAGACTTAAATAATTAATTGACTAAAATTACAGTACGTTAAAAATTAACTGTACTTGTATGTGCGGTAAAAAGAACTCATTTATGAAATTTGCGAACTAAAAAAAACCTGCCAAAAGCAAGAGCAACAGGGGCATGCCAAGTATAAAAAATAAGCAATTAGCTGAATACGGTTGGAATTTCAAACATGTTATGCCACTCCTCTGCCATGCTTCTGTCGTCGACATATACTACAGAACGACTGCCTCTAACATGATGAGCAGGCCGTTGTAAGTGATGATAGGAAATGAAACAGAATGGCGCTTGGCGTTGAGAAATAGAGACAAATAGAAACCATTTTTCAACTGGCTGGCTATTTCCATGCCACATTCATCGAATGGAGAGTGAAATAACAATAGCTAACTATTTGTCACGGATAATAATAAGTTACAGATTGGATTGTAACCACTGCAGAGATTGCAAGCGCACTTTCTTCCACATTCTGCAAATTGCCTGCGAATTATCTGAATCAACTTGGAAATAGATTCAACAAAAGAGAAAACAAGATTTTAAAATATTCCAGTCTGCTTCTTGATATGCACATTGAAACTGAGAACATCCTAAAACTGAACACAATTTCCGATATTGAATACCAATTAAATTGAGCAGTTAGAAGAACAAATCCGAGCAAGGTATTGTTTTCACCATTTTACCCACTTCCTTGCCACACTATTTAAACGGTATAAAATATAACGATTTAAAAAGGTTACGACTAAATGTCAGGTCAATAAACATGTTTTAAATTCTAACAAATTATTTCAAACTACTGCTTTAAGTCACTTTATATGCAAAAATGACTTCCCCATACGATTATATAGTTAGAGCATAAATGTTTTCTGGGAACTAATTAGCCATGAGCATTTCTCAATAGTCCCGGGAACCACCCCAAAGAGTGGCTTGCAAAGGTAGATCTGATGGACACAACCAGCTAGAGCATATTTTCTCCAGGCGCTCTAATAGCAAATCAAAAAATTTAATTGAAGTGCGTTATATTTTGGGTTAGAAAGGTCACAGATTTCGATATTGGTGCAAAATGTTCGCAATGGCATAATTATTTACAACATATCAAGCAACATATGCCCTAAATGCTTATTTTTAGAATTATAGGCGAAATAATAGAGACAAAAAATGCAATTTATGCCTTTTTTGTGAAAAATATTATTTAAGTGGTTATATTATCTACATCTATGCTTCACTCAAATATTAAATCATCTCCCAAACTTTTGAGCATAATTTTCATTCATAACCTGATTCCCCTTGCTAAGAGATAAGCCATCTTAGCCCATACATATCTTTATTAGTCGAATGAAAGGTTGTTAAAAAGTCAGCTAAAATACGTTTGAAAAGTACCGTATATTTGGCCGGTATGTGGATTATCTCTTCCATCATTTTATAACTTTAAAAGTAAACCTGTACGTAACAAGAGGATACTATATAGATAATATCAACCTATTATGGTATTGATCAATCGTATTTTTTGCCGACTTTCCAACCAACCTTTTAATCGGCCGATGGAGAAACATTTACGTTAAGTACTAAAAGTAGGTTAATGCTACGCGTGTTTTAAATGCCCGTAAAGAATGCCCTCCTACCAGATAAAATTGTCATACTACCAACGACAGAAGGGAGTACACTCTGAGCAAACTATGAGGGGGGGGGGTCCAAGGGGAACTTTGGGGAACTTTGGGAAAGTCCCCCAAGATTTCTGAAGTTCCCCAAAAAAAAGTTCCCCAAAACTCCCCAAAGTTCCCCAAAATTCCCCAAAATTATTCAAAATTATTCAAAATTATTCAAAATTATTCAAAATTATTCAAAATTATTCAAAATTATTCAAAATTATTCAAAATTTCTCTAATATACATTAATACCCATTAATGTTAACATGTAACATGTAACATGTTATTATAATGTATAATCTTAACTTACTTGTTGATACTTGCAGCATGATAATTTTTTTGGCATGATAATTTTTTTGGGGAACTTTGGGGAACTTTGGGAAATTTTGGGGAACTTTCTGAAGTTCCCCAAAAAAAAGTTCCCCAAAATTCCCCAAAATTATTTGTTTCATTGATAATTTTTTGGGGAACTTTGGGAAAGTCCCCCAGGTTTCCTGAAGTTCCCCAAAAAAATAGTTCCCCAAAACTCCCCAAAGTTCCCCTTGGACCCCCCCCCCCCCCTATGAGGGCCGGAGTACACTCTGAGCAAACTATAAGGGCCGGAGTACACTCTGAGCAAACTATAAGGGCCGGAGTACACTCTGA